CTAAATTGGCAGTGGTAATGATAAGTGGTAATCGCAAGATGCTGCAGTTGCAATCTGCCGATCGACCACATCATTGCTGTTGGGTGGACAGAGGCGTGGTCGGACAGGGGCTGTGGATTTGACGACTTGGAACCGGGACACAATTCAAGTTGCGCCAAACCGTTTTTGTTTTGTTACAGTGTGCTCACCATGACACCACGGCATCATCTCCATTTATGGGTTTATTGTTTTTTTGACAGAATGACTCGGTTAATGGAGATGCATCACGGACACTGGAATAGCAGACAGCCATGCGGTCATTGATGTTGCTCCTTTCCTGGAGAGGCTTGGGTGGGAGCAGCAGCAGCAGCACTTTGTGTAATTGCCAGCGTAAAAGCCGAGTGTGTGGGAGGGGGAGGTCACAGAGATGTATGTTGAACTTCTTTCGCACCGTACGTAACCAACCGTGCTAATCGAAGGTACGGAATATAACCTTAACAGACTGCTGTGCCGTGCCAGCCTGGGAAGGCCAGCACAGCATCACGCCTGCCCGCCTTTGTCTCCCGAGTGGAAATATTTACACTGCACCAGGCACTCATTTGAGGCTGAGCCAACCTAGGGAAGGCCCAGGGAGCGGTTCAGATGACCGTCACTTGTGTTGGCACACACACAGACACACAAAATAAAGACAAAGATCCCCCGTATAGCCTTCACAGACTGTTGGGGCAAGTGCTGTTAGCGAGCATGCAGAGCCCATCACTGTGCGACTCATTAAGCCAAGCATTGCTTCTCGGCTTGTGCATCAACATTCTGCAATTGTCTTACCACTCCTGTTAAGTGGCGGATCCAGAAGGGAATGGGCAACGGGGGCTCTATTGGCCGCAGCCGTGCACACGAGACAATCCGTCTTCATTGTTATTATCATCCGCCATGGTTGGATGAAGGCCTCCACCAAAGCTGCAAATGCAACGATCCATCCAGCGCCTGCACACGGACTAATTTCATTGCTCCATCTCCACTGTGGGACAGCAGCCTCTCCGACGCGTTCTAGTCACTTAGACTGCCTCTCTGATATGATACTCGACCATCGGCCATCATCCTTTTGTCTACAAGTGACGCATCTGGCCCATTCCAATTAAATAATATCTCTAATAATTGTATTTCAATAATAACAAAAAAAAACACTGCTTTTATGAATGGTTATATAAAAATATCCATGAGAACTCATCTTCAGAGTTATTGTGGTCGTTACACATAATTAGTCAACCACAATTTCACTCCAAGGCCCCAAAACACGATAACTAGGGTTAGAATATGGTCAGAGGAAGATAAAATGCGAATTAAAATCAAGTCAATTTATTTTTGGTTAACACGTGCCTTTCAAAGCGCCATCACCAAACAAAGACAACGATCCCCTCGTATAGCCTTCACAGACGGTTGGGGAAAGTGCTGTTAGCGAGCACCTATAAAGGCCGGCACGGCACACATTGGGGTGGGTGGCCAGCAACCACGCCCGGCCGCCTTTGCCTCCCCGTTAGCGATGTTTACACACTGCACCAGGTACTCATTTGAGGCTGAGTCGACCTAGGGGAGGCCCAGGACCAGTTCCAGATAATCATCACCGATGTTGACAGTGAGCAAGAATCGAACTCGAGTCACCGGGTTATTTGCGCAGCGCGCTAACCACTACACTACCGACATCACCACATCATTAAAACACAAACATAATTACTGAACACTTTTAAAATAAATAAAAGCAAGCTACAACACCATACACTGCAGTCCCCCAAGCTCTGCCTCTGCAAAGGACTCCACTAGAGGGAGCTCTAGAGAGCCCCGTTAAGAGCACGTACTTTGCCTACTCTTCCACGCTGGCCAGATACATTGGTGGAGGTGATAGTACCCACCACTTTAGGATTTCGTTTTAATAAATGCGATGCGGTGCTGCTGTGTTGGCAACCAACCGGTTGCACAAGCAAAATCAGAATATTTATTTACACTGCAGGAGGAATCAGATGTCTAGTAGGGGCACAGGGTAAGAACGTTACGACAAAGAGTACAAAAAAACAGGACAGTAGTGCAAAGTACAAGTATGGTCAACAAAATCACCCCAAACACATACAAATACCACACTAAACCATCCCCATCCTACCAGGCAAAGCTCACTTGAGCTATTTCACTTATTTTTCAAAGTAATAACGACAACAAAAATATCAACGCATTCCTCAACAAAACTGTGGCCCTGCAGATGGACATACGAGGCAACGTTTCAGGCAATTACCCTTGCTCACAGCAAAAGTATGTAGGCAGATGTACCCGATAAAATGGCGATAATTTAAGTTTACTAAAATATAGTTCAAACTAAACTGCCGTCAGCCACTAAATGCGTGATTTATTTAAAAATATAAAAATAAATTTTGATACTTTCTCCCGAGGACCAGATGTGGGTTGGCGCTGCGGTGATATGACGCAATCGTGATTTTACAGCTGTAACGTGGCAGGCGTTGTGGATGGTAAATGTATAATTCTCGACAGGGCTTATTTATCACAGTTGAATAATACACTTTCTCGGAAATTTGACGTGCATCACGCGGCGCTCTATCGTGCCCTCTTAGCGCAAGAGGGCCTTTCCGTCAGCAGAGGCGCATACCTGTCAACCCATTATCAGTGCCCTACCTTATTACGGACCAATTTAGACCTTATTGGTCATCCTGTGACCCTTATAAATATCAACGTTCATCCTACAAAGTCCCACGTTCATCCTACAAAGTCCCATCACAAAGGGAGAATCACAAACAAATTGACCAAAACGAAAATTTGCCCATATTTAAACGGCCGTATGGCATATGGACCTGAAAACTCAAATTCTCTGTACAAGAATACGGGGTTATACCGAATGGGTTGACAGATATGCGACACACAACATACACACCGACAAACTGTGACACAGTGACACATACCGACACACAGTGACACCATTCCTGTAAACCCCTTATCAGTGCCCTACCTTTTTACAGGCCAATTCAGACCTTATTGATCACCCCGTGCCCTTTTAAACCTCAACGTTCATCCTACAAAGTCCCATCACAAGAGAGAAACACTCACAAAGAGAGAAACACAAACAAATAGACAACAAAAATGTGCCCGTATTGAAACTGTTGTACACCGTTTTGGGCCTGAAAACTCAATTTCCCTATACAAGAATACGGGGTTCTATGGTATGGTTCGACAGGTTACGGTGGCGTGAGCGAGACGTTGCGGGGCTGCGCCTTCAACCAACTCGTACACGTCCTAACCTTGGGGTGTGTTTAAAGGGGGTGGTAGGGGGGGAAGGGGTTGATTGTACTGCTTGGAATGATTGTCGATTTGAAAAAAACAAGCATTCCGATTTTTGTTGTTTGAAAAAAAAATGTCGACCGTTTCATTATTTAATTTCAAATCTGAGGTAAAGTGATATCGCGCGAACTGTCCTATCGTCAAACGGGTCCTCGTATCTCAATCTTACAACATTTGTATCGTAGCAACCAACCCAGTCCCTCATCCATACCCCCTCCCCTCCTTGAGGCGCTCAGCCCTGCGTAGGCCGCGTCACCATGGCGACGCCATTGGCCGAGTGTCGTCAGAGCCCCGCGCTGTAGGCAACGGCTTTGCAATCCGTGCCTTTCGTGCACAATCGCCTCCTCGCCGTCCCTACGCTTATTTTACAATATTTTGTTTGTTTAAAAAAAAAATACTAAAAAAAAAGGTTTAATCACGGTTCGGCCGAGCGCGGTGACAAACGTCAAGGCGCCTTGTCAAAGCTGCGTGTTGTTTGCAGTGCGTCGTCTTGCGATTTCGCGTTCGCCATTCATTCGCAAACCTACCCCCCCCCGCCCCACGATTTGCCTACCTACGTACGGTGCCAAAGAAGTTCAACGCACATACCTATCAACCCATACGGTTTTACCCCGTATAGCCGTTTTTAAATACGGGCAAAATTACAAATAAAGTGTCTATTCGTTTGTGTGTTTCTCCCTTGTGAATGGACTTTGTAGGATGAACGTTGAGATTTCAGGGGCACGGGGTGACCCAATACGGTCTGAATAGGTCTGTAATAAAATAGGCACTGATAAGGGGTTGAAAGGCATGCATAAACATACATTCCTACACAAAATTCATTGAAATAGGGGGGTGGAGACGATGACTAAAAAGGAATTCTAAAGTGGAGAGGATGCGTAGATCATTGTGAGTCCCGCACTGTACCTAGAGTCTGTGTGATTTTTTGGAGCCACACAACATGGTCAATGAAATTCCACCAAGGGGCTATAAATCCTCAAACGTTTAGTCGCAAAGTTGCTGTGGCATTTGGGGAGGGGGAGGGTTAATCCATACCCCACCCCCCAACTCGGCAAATAATATATAAAGTTCTGTTTGCCAAGGTCGTTGTGAAAAAGATTTGAAAGATTGCTACTGAAGTGTTCGGCAATGTTGGGGGTGCCCTGCCGTGGTGTGATAGATAACACAGCATTTACAAAATGGTTGCCGTTTTGATATTTTCCGTCACGACGGTTGAAACAATGGGCCAAGTTTATTCAATCTCTTCCCCCTAACCACCCATCTCCATCCACCAGTACAGAGTGGGAGTAACACCACCAGTCCATCTGCAGGTCGTGCATGGTGGGGTAAAGTGCAGGTATTCCCACCTTGGTCAAGACGTACTGTGGCCAGTGTGGAGTGAGTAGGCCCGCAACATATAATAACCCTCCACAGCAGGAACTTTCCATTGCAGAAGTCATTCTGCTGCGAGTAAAAATTTGCAAGGCTTCCCACACCTATGTAAAGTTATTTACAGGATAGCTGGGAGTTTGTTAGATCCGTTAAAGATTGATCGAAAATTAATTCCTTCAAAACAGCTTGTTGTGTCGAGTTCGCGGTCCTTCCCCCGCACCTCCGATTAGCACGGTAGGCTACGTACGGTGCGAAAGAAATTCAACATACATACGTTACACGAATGGTCCCATTTAGCTGGTGAGACTCCTTACCAAGCAGAGCAACAACGCTGAGGTGGCCATGCCCTGGTGTGATAGTAGTGCTGTGGTATCCACACGGGGTGCCAGCACTGGTTAAATGTCCTCGTAGAAGTGAAATTCCCTCCAATCCTTGCCAGACCTGGTTCCCAAAACATTGACACAAACAAAGATGTTTGAAAATGAATGTAATGCGATTGCTTTTTGCATTGGATTCTTGACGAATTATCAATTTATTTGGGGTGATTCTGTGCCCACGACTGAGACGATCACTTTCTGATTGTTTTTTCATTGTGTAAAAATAATTATGAATTTCCTCAAATTGACCTCTTTGCTCACACAAGGGGAACATTTTTACACTGTGCAACATGTGTTTGTCACAAGTATGTCATTGAACTAACACTATTATTTATTTTCTGGATTCAGGCGAATGAGGTTGAATTGAAAAAAAACAGTGTGTAGTCATTCGGGCTGAGACGATTAACTCACTGTGCTTGAACCCCCACTTTAATCATCGTTAGCAGTCTGTATTCAAACGCAGAATCTTACCAGTGTCAGCTCAGGACTGATGTGTTGTTAACCATTTGAGTCATGTGGCCAGTCCATCCTTAAGGTAACCCTCACAATATATCCAACACGAATTCATAACCCCAACCCTAAGCTCTAACCCTTATAAAACCAACCATAACCCTCACACCAACGCTAACCATAAACATAACACCAATCCTAACCCTAGCTACAACCCTAACTATAACCTTTCCATGAGCTCTAACCCTATCCTCTCACCCTTAACGGTAACCCTTAAAAGCCCCACTTTAAATACACACAACCCTAACCCAAAACATTTAACCCTAACAAACCTCTAACCCTAGCCTCTAACCCAATTCCAGGTTCTCAAAATGTAGCGAGTTGATGCCTCAGGCCGGTGACCAACGACTGCACAAAAAAAAAACATTATTAAATGTATTCATAATCAACGTTTTTGGGTTTAGATCGCGTTATTTATAAATGTGTTGTAACCCTCCACCACCCGAAACGGCCAATCAGTAAAAATGTGTCACGTTGACAAAGACAAATAGTTCACTGCTTTAGCCCACTGATTGGCCGTGTCGGGTGGAGGGTTACGACACATTTATAAATAACGCGATCTAAACCCAAAAACGTTGATTATGAATAACATTGGTCGCGAAAGCCTACGTGTTAAATTATTAAATTTAGTTCAGCTCTTGATTTGGCCAAATTCCAGCTTTTGAGAATTGTGATAGTTCAGAATATCATTCAATCGGCGATGGCGAGGAAAAGCCTCCGCTACGTACTTTATGAGTCCTAATTGTGTTGCACTGCGATTAACAGTGTGCAGTATAAGAAAACCCCACAAATGGCACAAAACCCCTTCATATATTGATTGCTTTTTCAGTATGCACAGCAGTGAGTGAGTGCAGGGTCGCTCTGTGCCCCAACAGTCCGAGTGTTTTCCACATAGCCAGTGCAATGGCAGTACTGTACAAATACAACCTGAATGTATCAAGCACATACGTTCGATGGCATCTCAAAACCCTTTCGGGACAGCAGAGAAGTGGTGGGCATTGCTATTGAGAGTACTCCCGTGCGGGGGCAGATTTCATGGCATCAAAAGCAGAGGCAGACCTCGAAACTTCAAGGGGTGTGGGAGGGCAGTTAAGACATGTCAAGCGTTTTCAATCGGACCCTACATCAACATTAACAATTATAATCTGAAGTATGCCATAGATAAAACATTTTTGGGTGAATCTACTAATTTTAGGAGTTTCAAGTGGGGGCGGGCGGAGGGGTGGGGGCTATCTCCCCCATTGGCTACGTACGGTGCAAAAGAAGTTCTACATTGTGACGCCGCTCCTATTCCCTTGGATCCACCAGCCACTGGGCAAAAAGGTTAATTTTTTTTCAGCCTCCCCCCCCTCTCTCGGGATGATGTGACGTGTTAGACCAGTGGTGTAGGAGCATGGTTTGCATGGGTCCTGGTGTAAGGCTTGAAAGGGAGGAGGGGCTGTGGGCTGGGGGGGCCCTCTGCCCAATTTCCCTACCTCTTTGCAGCCCAGCACCTTGACCCTTCCGGCCCGTGGGTATCCTCAGGTTGCACTGCCAGCACACTCATTAGCCACGCCGCCGTGCAAGAATAATGGCACTACAGTGTCCCTACATCATAATCCCTGTTCACGTGACATGCAGTCATAAAATGTGCATGCAGATAAATTGTAATCAACATTACAGACGGGCCTTACGCAATTGCAGTTTACCCATGTCTATTTATACGAAGGACTTTGAACTGAATTATACAGTGGCACCTAATCTGCATCTGTCCCTGTGTGCATGCCTGCCTGCCTGCCTGGCCGCTCAGTCATGAGCTACGGGAAGAAATGAAAACGCATCCTTTGTCCGATTCACTGCTGGATTCCAGCCGATGTGTTCAGCATTTGGACCCTGCAACAAAAGCCCTGACTGTCCAAAAAAAAATGCCAGCGTGCGCTTCGACGGCGACACAGAGAGACGGCTTTCAATTCGAACACAATACAGTGCTGCACTGTATTTGCAGAATGTGTTATTGGTCTCTTCCCATCCAAGCACTAACCCCAAAACTAACCGCTAACCCTACTCCAGCACTAACCACTAGCCCTAATGCTACCCCAATACTAACTAGCTCTAACCCTACCCCAACACTAACCACGAACCCTAATGCTAAACCACTAGCCCCCATCCTAAACCTAAAGCTAACTGTATGTTTCTGGATTAGGGATTTTCTACGTCGTTCGGGTCACGGTGGGTTGGAGGATGCGGAGAGGATATACGTGGGAGCATAGAATTACAGCACAACAGATTATTTGATTTGCTACCCTGCCAACCATGTGGTGAACAAAGCCAGGGAAAGACAATGAAAACAGACAAACAACAACATCCGTGCCACGTAGGCACTCCCTAGGAGGCCCTTTATGAATTATGCAGATATCAGGATGATTTCATTAGTGGCAAGGGTAATTAGCCAAGAGAGATGGAATGAAACGACTGACTGGTTGAAAAACCAGCATGTGATTCATTGTGTTAGGGCTAGAGGTAGCATGGGGTTAGCGTTAGGTTTAGAATTAGGGATAGGGTGTTGGCATCATGGAGCCAACGAGTTTCATTGATGGTGTTAGTGAGACGGATCTTGCTTTAGGGTACCATGAGAGATAGTGGTAAGAGCTGGTGTTAGGGTTCAGTGTTAGGGCTTAGGATAAGGCCACATTCTGGAGAGTGCATTTTCAAAATCAATGTCAGGCGACAGTCTTAATCACCTGAATGACGCGAAGATTCTGATTAAAACGGCGAACAGCGTTCACTAACAGGTTGCTAATAGGACTTGCAGCGCAACGTGGTTGGCAGTGTGGATGAAATGTGCCTTACAAATGTCAATTAATATTGTACTCTACTAATAATGTAAATACATCCCCTACACACATACACCGGCGTCGGAAGCCCCACATCCAGCAGTGGACTGACCATGGTGTGTGCGTGTACACGGACTAAACCACTCTGATCCCATCCCCACTATACATATATTAGAATCGAACTCTGGCAAACAGAGAAACACGGCGTTGCCTTACAGCAAGATCCTGGGTTTCGATTATCTGCTCAGCCGCCTCTGTTCCTCCCATAGCTTAACAATAAAAAATCCAATATAACTATAATTGTCCAAATATGCCAATGCTGAGAAATTACCTTTCAAAATGCTCGATTGGGACGACACATGGCAGTATTGCCCCAACGACGAAAACTTGACATGACCCTCCTGAAAAAGAGTCTTGAGACTCGGTGAGGCTTTCCTAGGTAAACAAGCGGAGGAATAAATATCCGCACGGCGGCACAGGCGTGGACATGCGGCAGACGTCTCGATAACTACCCTAAATAAAAACTACTATGAAAGGTGCCGTTTCAGGGAATGGCTCTCGTCTTTATGGCAGAAAGAGACAGGTCACCAGCACGCATTGCATAACATCCCCTGGACAGGACGTGTCTTCTATACAGAATTTAACGTCCACAGAAGATCCTCCACAGCAGACAAGTTCACTCGTCAAGTCAACCACACGGTCCACAAAATGCAGCAGATGGGTTGCCCAGCACGGAGGGTGATGACAATTCACGGACCTCTCTGCATACAATCTCAAGCGCAGATCTCCTGCCTACACATCTCCACAGATGCCCTGCCGGCACAGATATCTTCTGCACAGGTCACCCCAGAACTCAAGACAGGTCTCCCGGAATGAGCTCCCCTACGCAAGTTCACTGCCTCTACAGATCCCCAGAGATCGTCTGCATATATCTCCCACACGGACCTCCACATTTCTCCTGCAGATATCCTCAATCTCTCGCACAGAAATTCCGCGGATCGTTCCACAGATCTCCTGGGGCTTCCCACACAGATCAGAATGTGCATTTATACTGGAGGAATCCGATGAGCTACAAAGCTCGTTTTCCACAGATGTCCTAGCTGCCGCCACAGATCCCCTACACGCATCGGCTCCACAGATCTCAGAGGGTTTCCCGCACCGCCTCTCCCTGCAAGGGGATCTCGGCGGCCAGAGCAGCGATAACCCCTCCCGAACACGGGACAAGATCATCAGCGGCCAGGCACCTCGATGCGGAACGTCCCCAGTTTTCTCGCGTCCTCACCGTGGAGCCAGAAGGAACTCGGCTTCATCGTGAAGGCAATGCGGCAGCGGCAGCAGCAGCAGCTCCGCGTGTTAAACGTGTCTCTCGCCATCCTCCCATCGCGGCTCCACACACGAGCACGCGCGCACACGACAGCAAGCAGCAGCAACGCCGGCGCCTCGCCCACGCCGCATTAGAATTCAGCTCGGAGTCTGTCTCCTCCGTCATGAAGGGAGGAGGGGAGAGGAGGGAGGGAGAGTGGGAGGAGAGGAGCAAGGCGAGGGAGGGAAGGGGTAAGAGAGGGGAGACGGTACGGCGGAGGGGAGGATGGGGCGAGAGAAGGCGAGGACTTGAAGGGAGATGATTACAAGGGGGATGGAGATGGGGTGACGAGGGAGATGAGATGTGATGATGATGATGATTGTGAATGCGAGGGAGATAAGATGATGATGATGATGGAGGGGGATGAAGATGATCCCATGGGCGATTACAAGGGATGTGATATACAGGCGAGTAAAAATGTGGGATGAGGAAGGCGATCGATGAGAGAGGTAATGAGACGACGGAGACGGTGACGAGGTGGGCGATAATTAAGTGATAAGTAATTTACAAGGTGCGTTTTTTTTTAGGCATTAGGATGTTCTGGCCAATACCAGTTACGTTGTGCGTTCCTTTCTTTGTAAGCTTTGGGGGGGGGGGGGGAACTGCAGAACCCAGGGAGGAAAATGCAGAATAAACTCCACATCCAACAAGGAGCCCGAGTCGAGACTCCAACCCAGCCGCTTCTTGCTTTGAGGCGCGCGTGTGTCACCCACTGCGCCGCCGATTATAATTTGCACGTAAAATTTTTGCTTAAATATTTTATTTCCTGACCAAATAATTACGAACTCAATTAAAGCCGCACATAAGCCCACATTATTATTAAACGGAGGCCATTTAAATGGATTTCCGGACTAGTTGACGGCAGAACAACTATGCCGCGTCATCATGTTTGTAGTTCAGTCGGTTCGTGAGTGAGGAGAGCATGAGGGTTTTATTTTGGAAGGATGTGGAAATATATATCCGTAATGTAAATCGTCTCAACTTTAAATAAAAAGACAAAGATCTGCCGTGTAGCCTTAACAGACTGTTGCGGCAAGGGCCGTTAGCGATCACCTATGAAGCCCGGCACGGACGTTAAACCCATTTCGTACCGTATTGTAGCCAACCGTGCAAATCGGAGGTGCACGGGATAGAGTAGCAAGCACCACGCCCGATCACCTTCGCCTCACTAGTAGCGATGTTTACATACGGCACCATGTACTCATGAGACCGAGTCAACGTGGATGCCCAAGACCGGTTCAGATATTCACCACATGTGTTGGTCAGCCGTTAGCAGGAATTTAATTCGGGTGGCCGGGTTTGTAGCGCAGCGCGGACGGCAATTTATTCGGAAACACGTGAATTGTAAACCCAGAAAATGTTCAGCTCGGATTACAATCGGTCTAATACGATAACGATGCGTGCAATGGAATGGAAATTACGACCGGGTGACGATACCAATGATGGTTATCGAGCTGGAGTGGAGGCAACTTCAACGCGAATATTGTGAACAAGATTAAATTTCCAAAAATTTTAGATTTCGTGCACTTTCCTTCTAAGCCAAATGCCTCATCATTGCACGGTAGTCAATAACCGTGCATTACAAGGGGCAATATATAGCAGGTGACGTTTTGGGCAATGCCTCCTCTTCATAACGCGGCCAGCCAGCGGACATGAATTAACATTCTATACATTAGGTCCCACGGTGTTAAGTGCAAGCAACTCGTATCCACTATGTATATCATTAAAACCTCTTCACGTCCAATGACAACTGGCCATCTGAAACATCACCTGTTAGTTTTCCTTTGAATGCCACGCGGTGTGTTGACAGGGAACGTGTCGTGCGTTTGTCTTCTTGGGCACCACTGCCTACGCAGCACCAAAGCTTCATCGTCACGCCGTCGGCTGCTCAGATTTCCCCCCCCCCCCCCTGAACTTCTGCGACTATTCCAATCATCCTTATTCCACCCATCCTTCTACGTCTCCCTCCAATTGCTCCGTTCTGGACCGGTGGCATCTCCTTAGCTCACTCTAAAGCTACGGGTGTGCATGTGTACATGTGTGCGTGGTCTCCTCTCCAAATATATTTGTCTATTAAGGCCTAAAACAAACCATCTACGTCTTGTAGCCCTTACCTGCTTGAGAACATTTGTAATCCCTTGCCAAGGCGTCAACTTATTCCCTTTCCCCATAGAGTCCCAATTGCGATCATGAACTTCCGTCAGCCGTTACAGCGCCACCAAGTGGAAATAGCAGACGCTTACATGCAACATTGGTTTTAATGTTCAAGTCCTTTCTATTGAACACTTCAGGGCCCAGGACGAGTCAATAGAGAAGGGACCTGGGGTTAAAGCGACAAATTGACATAAAAACAAAGCACAACAGTTTAAGTATATAGGGTAAATTTGCTGAATTGGACAAGTGCATTAACACAAATCACTATTATATTCACTTCCTGTCCAGGCGTCAGTCCTTTCCATCATGCCCGTGTTTAATTTCTAAGAGCATCTTCTGCCACGCCTTTGTGCAAGCTACCCTTGCCAACACAAAGTATGGTCGCACGCATAAATTACAACGGATGGGGAGAAAACAGGCAATCCTCTCCCAACCAAAGTGTGGCACAGGCCGATCACCACGTGGTCTGCTCGTCCATACCTGGACACCCGGCCACACAGGTCCTCAAATGACCAAGCGTTGTACCGACCCCACTAAAATTCAGTTTACGACAAACTACATGCCTGGAACCTTTTTGTAAGTGCTCAGACCGACAAAAGCAGTGGCAGAGCGGTCGCGACAAAGACAGATGTCGTGTAGCTTAGGCACCCCTTCAAAGCATTCATGTTAAAATGGCGTCTTTACTTTCCCCAAGCAACAGGCATGCAACGCGACATTCTGTAAAATAAGCACCATTATAGCCAGGAAGTATGAATATATGCTTAATTCCATCATGTGAACACGTTAAACATCTGCATCACTTAGCATCTTTGAAGCAAATCCCAAGCCCACGAAAACGATGGAAGAAATCGCTGCGATGGCCACTACACTAGGGTAGTTCGGGATTTCCGCTGTAAAGAGGTAATATATGGGGGCAACATTGGGGAAGGAAATGTCATGGAAAAACATTTTGCAATTTGGAATTGTGGTCAAGTATCTGAACACAAATTTAAACAGCCCAAGCAAGTCAATCATGAAATTATATTCGATTTGGAAACCACCATCATGAACGAAAATGCAAACTGACAGCACGAGAGGGAAGCATCCTCGCTGTAGACAAAGGGTCCTCTGGTGAAGATGTAGACCGGGGTATCCACGTTTCCAAGCTACTCCTCTTCCTGGCCAGACATCTATGCTGGCAGCGAGAAGCAGTGAAAGAAGCCTTGCAAGCTATCACTGCAGCATGGACGAAAACCGGCAGAGAACGGAGGGGAGAATTAAGTGAGAAAAACTACCAGTCCATTACAGCCACGCGGCAAAAGTGCTGCCAACAGCAACACCCTACCACTCCTAAAGTTGACTGGATAATTTTCAGCATGGTGGGGATAGAGCTCACATATTTGGCATCGAGCAGTGAAGGCGAAGGCTGGGAAGGTGAAACAGTGGGCAGCGGTGGCAATGTCCAGTGCCATCATGCAGACAGCTACAGAGAGGAGAAAGGCCACATTTAAAAAGTGGAGGTAAGTTTACTTCGGCCAGTGTCAAAAGTGCAAAAATCGAAAATTGATGCACCCTTCTTTCACGATATAGTATTTCCGCGGATTAAGGGTGTTATTGGTGGGAGTCGGGTAGAGGTCGACGGTGAACAGGGCAAGGCCGAGGCCGGTCTTGGGGGTGGACAACTGGAGATAGAGGGTTTGACGCAGCTGCACCACTAAGGGGTAGTCGGTGAGCAGGTATGGCATCAGGAACGTAAAGCTTTTGTAGAAATCCATCTTCAGTTCCAGTTCAGCATAGACGGTCTGGTTGAGCACAACCTTTGTGCCGTTTGGCTGGAGCCCTCGGAATCTTGCAGCTAAATCGCAAGTCAATAAAAATGCAAAGACAAGAGCATGAATGCCTAGTCTGAACAAAAAAAAGAAATTATGGCAATAGGATAACAGATTTATTCGTTTTAGTTCAGCCACCACCTGACATGGCCAAACAATTAAACCTGGTCTCTGTTCAGCAGTAAGTTTGCAAACGAATTGACAAATTAAGCTTTAGATAGGATCTTTCATTTGAAGCCATGTCAATCAGGAAAAGGACCAGGAAGTCGAGGGAAGTGTTGCAAAGACTGGATTGTCAGCTCGTGGAATAGCAGTAATACATAGACTGCGAGAACCTACATGGTGAAGCACGAATTCTGTTCACATACATTGCATCGACCATGATGTACACGAAGTCGTAGGTGGTGCCGAACGTGGTTCTGGGCAGGGAAATCGTTCGAGAGAAGACGAGGTCTGCTCGTTTCCTGTGGGGGGAAAATACAAGGCACACCGAGTTTTTTTTGTTTAAAGCAGGCAGTTAGGATAAAGCACTTTTTAAATCCTTTATATTAAGTTCGCGTGCTTGCTTGCTTGCTTAGGACCGTGCAAATCTTTCGGTCGTTTTTTAACCCACTTCCCGTGATCCAATCGAGCTGACATTTTCCACACAGACTCGTTGTGCCAGACAATTATTGTTCGTGAAAAAAAATTCCCAAAATTTTACACTTTTTAGGCAAAAAAAAAATATTTAACATATATTCAAATATAACGCATTCATTGCTTTGGCTGAACGTCAGAGTGTAAGAGCCCAGAGCATAACCCCTCCACAGGCCGTGGCGGAGTAGCGCAGTTGGTAGCGCCCTCGCTTCTCATGCCAAAAGTCGCAGGATCGATCCCCGCGTCCTCCACAGGCGAATATATTTTTAAATCCTTTATATTAAGTTCGCTGCCACGCATAAAAGGATTCATAGTGAAAAACTTTGTTTTTACGGGTTATACTTGTATTAAGTTCGCTTGCTTGCTTGCTTAGGACCGTGCAAATCTTTCGGTCGTTTTTTAACCCACTTCCCGTGATCCAATCGAGCTGACATTTTGCACACAGACTCGTTGTGCGTGACAATGCATTTTCGTGAGAAAAAAAAATTCCGAAATTTTACACTGTTTAA